TCAGTTTATTACCGCAGCTTCTCATTCTATACCTCAACCTCAGGCAGGGATTTTCAAAGTGCGTGCCTTGGTGGTCTCCTGCTTTTGCTCGTGCAGTATGTTTGAAACGTGCTGAGGGGCAGGTACCGGTACAATAAACCACTGAGAGACCTTCTTTATTTTAAGCAAAGCGTGCGATTGGCCCCGCCATGGGCATCCGTGAAGCTAAAAGCACTTGTTGGCGAGACTATGTTTCCCCCCATCACCTCTGCTTCTTCTATGAGTGCAGTCTGGAAAAAAGTAAGGAAATTTAGTGGTAAATACTCTCCTGACCCCGCTCCTGTTCTAAAGGGGCGCTGGTGTTGATGTAGCAAACCCTCTTTGACGTTGCCATTGAACTTGGCACTCATCGGTCCGTATTTCCCGAGGGCTCCATCTATGCCCCTCGTTTCTTTCCTCAAAGTCTGCCAGAGAGTAGTACTCTTGGGCTTTTCTTCTCTCAGAGAAGAACATATAATGTGCCTTTTACACTTCAAGAACTGGAGGCAACGCTCTCAGCTTGCCGATCATCGGGAGCTGGCCTGACGACATTCATTTCGTATGTTACAACATTTACATCGGTCACCCCTTTTAGTCCTCTTACACCTCTTCAATCTTATTTGGGCACAAGGAGTTCTTCCCCAGCTGTGGAAATCTGCCATTGTTCTCCCTTTCCGCAAACCGGGGACTAAAAGGGCATGATGCCTCCCACTATCGCCCCCATCGCTCTTACAGTGCAGTTTGCAAAGTGATGGAACGTCTCGTAAATCGACGTTTAAGTGGTATTTAGAGACACACAACAGTTTTCTCCCCCTAGTCAATATGGCTTTCGTAAGGGTCGTTCTACCATAGACCCCTTACTAAAGCTTGGATACGTATGTTTTGTAATGCCTTTGCGAATAATCACTCAGTTTTTTGCCATATTTTTTGACCTTGAGAAGGCATAGACACAACTTGGAGGTATAATATTTTGGCCCAGGCCCATTCCTTAGGCCTCCGAGGCAATCTACCATCCTTCCTTAAGAACTTTTTAACTGACAGACATTTCCGTGTTCGAGTCAATAATGTTTTTTTCCCCGACTTCGTCCAAGCTGAAGGGGTCCCTCAGGATGTTCTAAGCACAACACTTTTTCTCCTTGCTATAAATGATTTGGCCTCTGTTTCTTCCACCCAATATTTGGTCATCACTCTATGGTTTATGACTTCGCTATTTCTTGTGCAGGCGCTGACTGTCATCTTATTGCAGTTTCTCTCCACATGCGGTCGACCGTGTTTCCACTTGGGCCACCACACATGGTTTAAATTTTCAAGTAACCAAAACTCACCAAATTACTTTCACTAGACGCTCTGTTTTCCCCGATCATCCTTTGTATCTCTATGGCTCCCGTATCCCCGAACGTGATACAGTCCCGGTTTCTAGGCCTTCTCTTTGACCGTCGTTTATCCCCGGAAACCTCACATTTCCTCTCTGAAGGCAACATGTCACAGCCGGCTAAAAAACCCTTTTTAAAACCCTTGCTCATCTTCCTGGGGAGCTTTATCGTCGAACTCTGCTTCCCTACATTCAGCCCTCGTTTTCCCCGAAACTCGATTATGGTGACCAGATTTATTCCGCGGCCTCTCCTGCTACTCTCTCTAGCCTTAACTCTATCCATCACCAAGGATTACGTTTGTCCTTGGTGCTTTTTTTTCGCTCTTCCCCTGTTGAGAGCCTCTATACAGAAGCGAATGTTCCATCCTTGTCTGATCGCCGTGATGCCCATTGCCTTCGCTACTATGTACGCCTCACGATCTACACAATCCTTCCATTTATAGAATGGTCACCGATATTAGTAGACATTCTTTATTTCGTCGCCGCCCCTGTTTGCTCCGTCCCTTTTCTCTTCGCCTACAATCACTCTTTTCTTCCCTTTAGTTACCCACCTTTATATGTTCATGTAGCATTCACTTTTCCCTACCCCCCTGGAAGTTTCCAGCTGTTTTGGGGGCTGTTCTTTCTCACTCCCTTGCCGAAAGCTCAACGCCTACGGGGGCTTCCCCCCTCTCTTTTTCTTGATCACTTTCCACCCCCCATTCTCATGCCACCGCTGTGTACACAGATGGGTCTAAAATCTTCAACGGCGTCGGATTTGCAGCAGTGTTTCCGGACAGTGTCGTGCGGGGGCATTTACTATCTTCACTAGCATTTTTACTGCTGAAATGTATGCCATTCTTGCAGCACTTATTTATATCGCATCTATGCCTGTGTCATCATTTGTAGTATCTCAGACTCCCTTAGTGCTCTACAGGGTATACCCAAAAAATTTTATACATCTCATCCCCTAGTTCTCCTACCAACTTTGGCTACGCCGTATCTCTACCAAACATAAAGATATTTTTTTTTGTTGGGTCCCTGGTCAGTCGACGTACAGGCAATGAACAGGGAACACTGCTGCGCGGGCAGCAGTACATACCATACCGATTTCCTATCGAGGTGTTCCATTTTTGGACTATTTTGCTGCAATAGCTACCCACCTTCGCACCCGTTGGCAACAACGTTCGTCAACTCTGCTCGTAACAAACTTCATTCTATTAAACCGAGCATAGGTTACTGGCCGTCTTCTTGTCATCAGTGCCGAGGTTGCGAGACACTCTCTCCCGCCTTCGCATTGGCCAAACCCCGTCTTACTCATGGGTATCTCATGGAGAGGCACCCTGTTCCTCTCTGTGAGCATGTCAAGTTCCAGTATCGATTAGCCACATTCTGTTAGACTGCCCTCTCTATCAACGAGCACGCAGAATTTACCTCCAACTTCGTCTTCGTTCTACTACTCTCTCTTTACCTTCCCTTCTTGCTGATGGACCCTCCTTTAATCCTGCCTCTCTCATTGACTTCTTGGGCAACGACTGATTTACTCCACAAACTCTGATGATACTTTTCGCACTCCCCTCAGCCCTTTCTAGTTCAGTCTCTTGCTGCCCTTTACCCTTTCACCATCCACTACCCCGCTGTTAAACCGTAACCTATTACTCATCCATCTCCCTTTTGCCACCTGATACCCTCACTTCCTTCCTGCCCTGCAGCGCTGTATAGTCCTTGTGGCTTAGCGTTTTTTTTTTATTATAATAATAATAATCTGTTGTACATTCCAATGCATAAACACTGTAAGTGAGTAAAATTTTAGACAAGTAGTAAAAGCGAACAGTGTGTTTCTAGTCACATAATGTATTTGTAATAATGTTCAGTTTTAGAAATTTTCCTAGGTACTATGTGCTGGATGTGAGTGTTGACTTTGTTTACTGTCAAGATGCATATCTATGACTTTCCCTTTACAGTGGAACCTCAAAAATCGAACTGCTCCTAACACAACCAATTATGTAAGTGTATTTTTGTAAGTGCTTTTATAAGTGCATTTTTGAGGGTCTGAAATGGACTAATCTAATTTACATTATTCCTGATGGGAATAAATTCATTCGGTAAAGGCACTCGAACAGCGTTCTGGACCGAAGAAAGTTCGATATTTGAGGTTCCACTGTATTTTTTACTATTGTTAAAATCAAACTAAGCACTAAAACCATAAGGGCCATATAGCACTGTTGGAGTATGTAAAGTTAAGGGTTAGTGGGGAAAGGGGGTTAGTGCAAGTAAAATTGAAATTAAAGTTGATTAAAAAGTCAGAGAATGTCTGCATCAAAAGTGGGATTTTGAGCAAGGTGGTCAGTGAGAGTGAGTGTGGTGGGTCAGTTTAGATATCAGAAGTGGATCCTGCATCCACTCCCCTTCATTTTGTTTTTCAGTGTGTGAATTATTTATATTCAGTTGAATATTTTAATTAAGCTGTATTCCCAAACACCATATAGATCTTGTGTGTTGAGTGTTTTTATTGGTAATGGTCCAAGAAGAATTCTTTGAGTTCATGCTTAACAGTGTTGGTAAGGACAACTGGCTCTAGATTTTGGATGAAAGTTGTCATCTGCAAATGGGGCTGGTCTAATTTCCTGGGAGGCATTAGGTAGGTCATTGATGTAGATGATATATAATAGAAGACCTAGGATGCTACCTTGTGGTACCCCTACATTGATACCCTGTGTTCTGGAGGATAGATGACTATCATTGTCCTGTTCCCTGAGGCATAACAGCTCTCAATCCAGTACATCTATGGCTTCTTACTTTTATCACTTATCTCCTGCTTTTCACTGAATAAGTCTTTCTGCTGGATCACACTACAATTACAAGAGGGCCTCCCTCCTCACCACTGCATTAGCAAAACACCATAAAGCAAAGCGCTGTAAATCGGGGCCTACCTGTAGTCTGGTATTATAATTATAATCATGGGGGAGTGCTAAACCCATAGGATTATACAGCAGTCTGGTATTAGCTATGAATCTCTGGCATATTATTATTATTATAATCAAGGGGGAAGCGCTAAACCCGGAGGATTATACAGCACCTGGGGGGGGATAAATTCCAGTTGAGTTCCTCTTGGGGATATTTCAGATGATAAACTTGCTCTTAGTCATGTTCTAAAGATAATCTTTCAGTACTTGACATGAAGATTCCTTCAAGGATAAGGTGACCTCATGTTCATAAAGGATTCATCAAAAGAATTAGAGCTGGTTTCCTCTTCCTTGGTTCAAACCTTATTACTTCTCATTCTTGAGGTGCTATATCATCCCCTTTTTTTAAGAGCTGTTATACTACCTCAGCTCATTTCAAAGCTCAGCTTTATCTGAGGTATACTACCACCACCCCAGGATGCGACTCACCAGTCAGCTGCTAGGTGAACAAGAACAGCTTAGTGCTTCTCTCCCCTCAAGGAAGACTCCTTGATGCTGGTGAAGGGTTTTTCATCCAAAGAATTGAACCTTCCCTTCCCTTCCTTGGATCAAACTTGATTGCTTCCCATTTCCCCAGGTGCTGTATGACCCATATGGATGTGATAATAACACAGGTTATTAAATTTATATTTCACACACACATACAGGATATTACAAGCAAATAATACAGAGAATAACACTTTATTGAGAATGACAAATGACATACACATTAAAATCAAACTATGACAAATGGAAGGAGCACCTTTATGTAACTCAAAATATACCATACTGTGATAAAAAATGCACACAGGAACAAAATCAAGTTTGTTGCAGTTTTCACCCTTACAACAATTTCATCATTTTGTAGAGCATCAAGGCTTGACTTTCAATGATAATGTGGAGGCTAAATACCACTTCATTATGTAAGAATAATAATTACACTTGTCGCTATGTATGGAGACACCAAGAACAGTGGATCCACAGTGAACTTTACTTGGCTTGAAAGAATAACTTGGTGGTAACACAACACTTGTCCTAACACACTCATCTGTTAATTATATAACATTCACAAATTAATGTTTTCAGAACTGAGCTATCTGTAATGCATTCACCAAAATTAACATAGCTGGTTAGCAATCAGTTTCCATTTAATTTTTTTTTTATCAATGGTGGTGTTGATAACACAGGTGATTAGCCAAGATAAAGCAAGGCTTGTGTTGATAACAGGTGATTAGCCAAGATAAATCAAGGTTTGTGTTGATGATAACAGGTGATTAGCCAAGATAAAGCAAGGCTTGTCTTCAAGAACACCAAGTAGTCATTGCCTTACAATTTTAGAAAAATAAAAAAAATTAAAACAAAAACTAAAATTTAAATAGCCTGCATGATCATGGGGAAGTACTAAACCCATGAGGCTCATACAGTGCTTGGGAATGGAAAAATAATAAGGTTTGATCCAAGGAAGGTGATTAAGTTATAATAGATCATAATGAATGTGCCATGCATAAGTTAATATGTCAACACCATAGGTTATATTAAGTTACATTATTACATTCATGAGAGTACTAAAGCTATAGGTGTCTTACAACACCTGTGGAGGTCAGGTCTAATTCCTTGGAGCAAAAGCCATTCACCAGCATCAAGGCACTTCATTTTCAAAGGACTATAGGCTATAATTCCTCTCCTTATTCAAAACTTAATTTGGCTGAGATTTGCTCACTGTGTGCTTCATTGCTAATCTACTCTGGCATTGATGAATTCTACTTATGCAACATGTGCTGGATTTTCCTAACTATATGGAGTAAAGCCAAAAGGGAATACTATACATGGTTGTACTGTTAGGGGCATCGTTGGTCAGGGGAATAGAGGAGAGTATTGAGTTATTTTGCAAGTTAGATCATATTACTGAGTTATTTTACAGTACATACTATATTTTTTTATAAACATCTGAGAAAAATCTGAAAACAATTTAAAAATCTAAATTTCTGACAAAATTGTTCCAGAAAATAAGAACTCTTCACACCTACACCAAACGTCCACATTTTGTATCAAATTTTAATACATATACTTCATGTGTTCTGAAAAGTAGTTAAGAAATCAATTGGCACACATCAGGTGGTGGTGGGAGCATCAGCTGATGTGAGCTTCCCTCATGTGCTGTAGATTTATTAGCATTCCTCCTAGACATTTTTTTATTATAAATTATGAAACATAAGTCATAGATATGTGGCATAATGTACATCATTCAAGTACATGGCTATAAAAATCATAATTTCTTCATCAAATTTTACATAAATAGAAACTCCAATTAATCCAGAACCTGGATTGATCCTGACAACTAGACTTATCCTCCCCTTCTTTGGAGTGAAAGTGAATGCCATCCATTCTCCAAGCCCTATATGACCCCTATGGTTTTAGTGTTTTTGTGTGATTAATAAATAAACCTAGGAAAAAATTAAAAATGTGGGAGGGATAGGATGGTGGTGAGGACTGTGGCTTATAACTCTGTACCAATGACTGACGTAGCTGCGAAAGTACCACTTTACTAAACTGCACCACATTAATTAATATCAGGGCTTGATCCAAAAGTATCTCCACTGAACAGAAGGCCCTTTCTAGTCGGAAGAAGCTCGTGAGAAAGGTTTGAACAAGTGTCACCAAAATGAATGCCTTTTGCCAGTGCCTCACAGGAGTCCATCAGACTGTAGATGTGACGACAGAAACCTGACAGTGGAGGCAAAGAAATTAGAGGTATGATATACCAGTGATGAGTTCCAAGAGTTTTTCTACTCCTGGAGCCCGACTCATGGCCAGGCCACCAACAGCAACAGCTGTTGGTGGTCCACAGCCCCACATATTCATCACAGTCTGAGTGATGTCATTCTCACTTCCAGAGATTTCTACAAGTACATGATACAACTTATACAAACCTAGGTGACATCAATGACATACTGTATAGAAAGCCCCTAATTAACCTAATTAATTAGATTAATTTTGTCCCCAGGATGTGACCAACACCAGTCAGCTAACACCCAGGTACTTATTTACTGCAAGGTGAACAGGGACAGCAAGTATCATAATGAAACATGCGTTTCCACCAATACTGGGGATCAAACCATGGACCTCAATGTGTGAGCTGAGCATGCTACTGAGCTATTTATTTTTATTAAAACTGTAATATTGGCATGCCTCTGGCAAGACAGTGATGGAGAAACAGTTTTATCTTGTTTTTGGGTCGCCCTACCTTGGTGGGAGATTGCCGGTGTGTTAAAGAAAAAACAGGCAGGAGCTGTGACTCAACCCTGCAACCACATATAGGCAAATACACAGAGGCAGGCAGGCAGACAGTAACTATATACACAATACAGGTTTCCCTGCTTTATGCGGATTTGCTATGTGCGAATTCGCTTATATGTGGCACCCCTATTCCTACCAGGAATTCACTATATGTGGCAAAAATTCACTCGATATGCAATTGGAGTGTATGGTCTCTGTATGTTTTCACTCACATGCGATCACTCAAGCATAGCATTACTTGATTTTTTACCAGTATCAAACAAAACCAGCTCATTTAACTGTCCCTGTTCTTCTTCCAGTCTTCCTTTAACTCCAATTAGATAGACCTCCCTTACCTGCCCACTCAACTGGGCTGGGGCCTCCCTTCACAGGTCACTGGCTTCCCACCCACTGTCATCCTTCACCAACCACCTGCTTTTCCTTCCCCACCTGCCAACCACTTGTGTAATGACACAATATAAATAAATCTACAATCCTTGACCAATCTTCATCAAAAATGCCACAATATATATAAATCTACAATCCTTGACCAATCTTCATCAAAAAAAAATGAGAACTTTAAACACATGAAATGAACATTCACAAAGCACAAATGAATTTGGAATAAAAAACAAAAAATAAAATAATGTGGAAATTGCAGTCGCAGAATGAATCCTTATCCCTCGCATGTTATAATGAGTTCGTTATGTGCAATTTCACTTTACGTGTCATCAGCCAAGAACACATCTATTGCATAAAGTGACTCTTTTGCATTTTGCCAGCTTTTACAACCTGTTTACCTTGCAGTGAGAACAGAATGTTGTATAAATTTTAGTGCTTTAATAGCTGTAAAAATATCATCCTCAGGGGAAAGTGCAAAATCCATAGGGGCAACACAGCACATTGCTATATGATCTCTCCAAAGCCACTGTACATCATGAGATGAAGTGCCTGTCATTGTTACATATATTGTTCAAAAGATCTTTGGAGGAAGGTGCCTTGATAGTAGTGAGAGGCTTTTGATTTAAAGAACTGGAACTACCCTCCCTTTCTTTGAATCAAATCCAATTGCTTCCTATTCCCCTGGTGGTGTATGACCCCTATTTGCTTAGTGCTGTTCCACGAACATCCTATTCAAAAGTTTTCTGGAAAAAGAAACAACAGGAATATTACAAAAATTCTTTTTCACAAACTATTATGGCTTTAAAATACACAGGTGATAAATCTTGATAAATGTACATAATTATTCTTACATGTACTATAGTATACAGGTATAACATATATTGTGAAAATAAGCCAGTTTTCTGTATTCATAGAACATACATATGCACTTGATGGTTGTCATTATGAACGGGCATACAGGATTGTATGTTATTTGAAAATGCATTTCTGCACAAGGAGTGCTAAAGGGCTCGCCTGGAATGTGTCAGTGTACCTCATTCACTCAACTCTTGCTTCTCTTGACCTCCAGTAAGATCCATCACATCCTTCACACTTAGTGTAAGCTTTCACCCCCACTTGCTTTTTAATTGCTTCTTATGCCTTTTTATCAGCTGAGGGTTCCCCAAAGACCTGAAATTAAGTCAGAATACAAAATACAACAGCTGAGGATAATCAAGAAAACCATGCATTGACTGGGGCCCCTTATAGAGAAATATGAAGAAAAGATATAGATGCAGGTCAGGCTTTTATTGTGACTACATTTTGCTTTATGTGAAACATTGTGACAATAAATGTTTGCTCTTTTCTTTTTTTTTTTTTTTTTTTACAATAGGAGCCTTGAAGGGCTCACACAGAATCATACCACCAGTATCATAGACACATAAGAGGCATCTGTTGAATAGTGGCAAAATATTAGAGTTATTTGCATACATCTTAGCCCAGCAAGTGTAAAGGATGACTTTACCAAGACTGCCAATCCAGTGTGATGAAATGATAGTCCCAAGCAAAGGCTGTACCAAGATGCGATTGACCTCACATCACGCTGAGGGGGCTCACACCAATCCTGCCACTGCATACACCAAGAAGAGCAAAAGCTGACAATCCCCAAGAATGGGCACAGGCAATTAACAACTTTTCCCCATCAATGGCAAGGCAAAAAGATTGGCTGCATAGGAAAGGTAACTCTTAATATTTACACTAGAAGCATGGAAAGTATTCATAGAAAAATAAAATCAGAGTGAGGATGATAACTGGGTCCTGGACTTTTACAAGATTCCTGGTCAACAGGTTGCATGACAAGCAACTATCAACAAGCAAGTGGTAACTGAGTGAGTGCCAAGTACATGATGTTCCTAACCTTTTAAGTCAGTACAGCTTTGGCAATTCATTACAATTATAACTACAATGAGACAAGTTGAAAGTGAAGAACAGGTTAACTGATATTACATCACTTCAATTACCTGGATTTTATTGAGTGGTTGAAATGAGGTGGTGAAATGAAAGCATGAGAATTTACAGTTAATGGATAAAAAAATTTAGATGAGATTTAATAGGTGCTTTTTAGCAATATTAGACCTGGCCTTTGGCACTTGCTTTGATTATATCATTTTTATTAACAGTACAGTGGAACCTCAAATATCGAACTTTCTTCGGTCCAGAAGGCTGTTCGAGTGCCTTTACCGAATGAATTTATTCCCATCAGGAATAATGTAAATTAGATTAGTCCATTTCAGACCCTCAAAAATACACTTATAAAAGCACTTACAAAAATACACTTACATAATTGGTTGTGTTGGGAGCAGTTCGATTTTTGAGGTTCCACTGTATTAGTAAAGATGATGGGAGATAGGAAACTTTTTGCATTTTCAGGTAGCAAGCTCCAAATTTTTGAGCTTTTTATCTGCATAGTTTTTTTAAACAGGTTGAGTTATACACATGGAATGTCAAAGAGATACTTGAGCCTTGTATTGTGTCCATTTCTGTTGCAGATCTCTAGATAGAATTTAAGCTCTAGATTAATGTTTGCACTGAGAGTACTGTAAACATAGTGTGCACAGTAGACAGTGTGAATATTTTGTATGTTAGGCAAGTTTAAATTTTGAATAAGGGTAATTTGTGTTGCCTGGAGCCTGAATGAGTAATTATTCTGAAAGCTGATTTTTGCTGAGTAACAACAGGTTCAAGGTGATTAGCTGTTGTTGATTCCCATGGACAGCTACGACAGTTGAGGTATGGACAGATCAGAGAGTAGTGCAGAGTGATCAGGGTTGTTTGGGAAACATAAAAGCATATTTTTTGAGAGAATGCCCACTGTTTTGGAAATTTTTTAAAATTGTTATGGATGTGTGTGTTGAATTTGAGTTTACCATCCGGAAGTATGTAAGCCTTAAGATTAGTTTGCCTGAAATGCATTTGCATGACTGGCGACTTATACTTTATCAAATTATATTTGTATTATATTTGTATTGGCAGTTTGGAGGGATATGTTGTGTATCTTTATACGTATATGCTTCTAAACTGTTGTATTCTGAGCACCTCTGCAAAAACAGTGATTATGTGTGAGTGAGGTGAAAGTGTTGAATGATGAAAGCATTTTCTTTTTGGGGATTTTCTTTCTTTTTTGGGTCACCCTGCCTCGGTGGGAGACAGCTGACTTGTTGAAAAAAAAAAATTGTATTATAATCAACTCAAGTTTATAATTTTTTTTTTTTTTCAACAAGTCGGCCATCTCCCACCGAGGCAGGGTGACCCAAAAAAGAAAGAAAATCCCCAAAAAGAAAATACTTTCATCATCATTCAACACTTTCACCACACTCACACATTATCACTGCTTTTGCAGAGGTGCTCAGAATACAACAGTTCAAAAGCATATACGTATAAAGATACACAACATATCCCTCCAAACTGCCAATATCCCAAACCCCTCCTTTAAAGTGCAGGCATTGTACTTCCCATTTCCAGGACTCAAGTCCGACTATATGAAAATAACCGGTTTCCCTGAATCCCTTCACTAAATATTACCCTGCTCACACTCCAACAGATCGTCAGGTCCCAAGTATCATTCGCCTCCATTCACTCCTATCTAATACGCTCATGCACGCTTGCTGGAAGTCCAAGCCCCTAGCCCACAAAACCTCCTTTACCCCCTCTTTCCAACCCTTTCGAGGACGACCCCTACCCCTCCTTCCCCTATAGATTTATATGCTTTCCATGTCATTCTACTTTGATCCATTCTCTCTAAATGACCATACCACCTCAACAACCCCTCTTCTGCCCTCTGACTAATGCTTTTATTAACTCCACACCTTCTCCTAATTTCCACATCCGAATTTTCTGCATAATATTTACATCCACACATTGCCCTTAGACAGGACTCTCCACTGCCTCCAACCGTCTCCTCGCTTCTGCATTTACCACCCAAGCTTCACATCCATATAAGAGTGTTGGTACTACTATACTTTCATACATTCCCTTCTTTGCCTCCATAGATAACGTTTTTTGACTCCACATATACCTCAACGCACCACTCACCTTTTTTCCCTCATCAATTCTATGATTAACCTCATCCTTCATAAATCCATCCGCCGACACGTCAACTCCCAAGTATCTGAAAATATTCACTTCTTCCATACTCCTCCTCCCCAATTTGATATCCAATTTTTCTTTATCTAAATCATTTGATACCCTCATCACCTTACTCTTTTCTATGTTCACTTTCAACTTTCTACCTTTACACACATTCTCAAACTCATCCACTAACCTTCGCAATTTTTCTTTAGAATCTCCCATAAGCACAGTATCATCAGCAAAAAGTAACTGTGTCAATTCCCATTTTGAATTTGATTCCCCATAATTTAATCCCACCCCTCTCCCGAACACCCTAGCATTTACTTCTTTTACAACCCCATCTATAAATATATTAAACAACCATGGTGACATTACACATCCCTGTCTAAGACCTACCTTTACCGGGAAGTATTCTCCCTCTCTTCTACACACCCTAACCTGAGCCTCACTATCCTCATAAAAACTCTTTTACAGCATTTAGTAACTTACCACCTATTCCATATACGTACTTGCAACATCTGCCACATTGCTCCTCTATCCACTCTATCATATGCCTTTTCTAAATCCATAAATGCAATAAAAACTTCCCTACCTTTATCTAAATACTGTTCACATATATGCTTCAATGTAAACACTTGATCTACACATCCCCTACCCACTCTGAAACCTCCTTGCTCATCCGCAATCCTACATTCTGTCTTACCTCTAATTCTTTCAATTATAACCCTACCGTATACTTTTCCTGGTATACTCAGTAAACTTATTCCTCTATAATTTTTACAATCTCTTTTGTCCCCTTTCCCTTTATATAAAGGGACTATACATGCTCTCCGCCAATCCCTAGGTACCTTCCCCTCTTGCTAATTTGTACTGTTCATTTGTTCACAAGAAATAAAAACAATTAGTTAATTAGTGTAACTAGGGCTGAGAGGGGCAGGTGTCAAATGAATGAAGCTGAACATATTCCAGGAAAGTTTACCATGGCTGCCTCCACACAAGGCTAGTACACATTTTACTAATAACAGGAATCTTATATATCAAGAAATGTATTTTAACTATATACAGCCAATATTTGAATATAAATCAAATTACATGCAAAGATGACACTAAAGTTTGCTTATGTAAGGAGTAGACATGTTTATAGTTAAGAATATTTTTAGTTAAAATTGAACTTCAAAAATATATTTATGTCTACCATATTTAACTGCACACTAGTTACCAAGTAGAATTATAATGGGAAGAAACCATCTTTCAGAGGTTATGTTTACTGTATTATTTCAAATACTGATTTACTCATGAAATAGTTATGTCAGCATGTTGAACACTGGTCATTGATCAGTATACTCTTGCTACTTCATTTTGCAAATCTCTAGTCTACCATGACTCACGAAATCGTAATGACACGATTGCAAACAAACCATACCATGGACGGGGATAGAACCCGCGATCAGAGAGTCTCAAAACTCCAGGCTGTCACGTTAGCCAATGGACCAGCTAGCCACAATATTTATTGTGGCCAGCTAGCCACAATATTTATTGTGGCTAGCTGGTCCAGTGGCTAACACGACGGTCTGGAGTTTTGAGACTGATCGCGGGTTCTATCCCCGCCCGTGGTATGGTTTCTCTAGTCTACCAGTAGGCTAATAATACAAAATACAATGCTCTGTCAACTTCAAAAATATAATATTAGCAATCTCATTAATCTGTGTATGCGAACGTTGTCAATAAAGGATCACATTATACTGCATATGTGTTTATATATTTCCATTGTGTCTATATTTTATACCATTTATTTCCATCATTTTCCCAGTTATCTTGGTTCTGTTTAAGATATTACAATATTTTTAATAAAGTTTTAATGATATGATATTGGTACATTTCTGCACCAAGAGCTCCGGCAGCCAAAATGTAACAGTATGTCAACACTTATTAAGGTCCAGTATCTACCTTTATAAAAATTGGCATGGTTTGCAATGTATTTTTCCACTCAGTTTTGCCTCTGCCTCCAATAGCCAGTTGTTACTTATTCAGTGTGGTGAGCAGTGCTACTAGGGTCCTGATATGCTTAAATGACCAAGTGTCATCCTTATCACAACAGCTAAACACACTGGAGACAGCTGTTAATCTGAGGTAGAAAAATAATAATTATGATAAGTGGTAAACCCATGGGGGTCAATCACCACAAGATGTGGTGAAGGTCTGATTTTCTGTCTGCTAAGCATGAGGCAGACATGCTTCCTATTTGTACTCACCTAGATGTCTTAAGCTGAAGTGGAATCCAGGCATGATGATCCAGGAGAAAGAACCCACCTAGTAGCAGGGGTGATTTGCCAGACACAGGAAAGTGTGAATAAATGGTTTAGAAGCTGATAAATGAGATACTTGTGCAACATTTGACATCTGACTTTTATCAAGATTGATGGACCGAACATAACTGACTCCAGGCTAAGAGACTGATCACCTTAAATTCCTCTTCATCTTCCACCTTTCTCTGCATTGGACTGAAGAAGCCACTGGCTGGCAAAACATTTCCAGAATAAAGATAACCGAATGTTGCACAAGTGTCTCCTTTATCAAAAGGAAAATGTGCCAGAATGAACCACAAGATCTGTGTACTCAGCCCTGAGCAAAGCCAATAATGAAATATGTCATTGGTGATGGCATCCTTTAAGGCCAGAAAACCGTGCCATTGCATGCATGCCAGGTACCAGTGAGCAGTAACGGCAAACATTCAATGTGGGCATCACAAACATAGCCTACCCACCCTAGGCATGTGTAGATGGCATTATTATAATATTCATGGGGAAATACCAAATCCCTAGTGATCAAGTGCCAGAGAAATGGGAGGTAATCAGGTCTGATCACAGGAGAAGGCATACTTCAGAGATCAATGTGGCCAAAAATTGTGTCACCCTATCCCGCTGCAGAACAGGATGTTTCAACTATTATAAAGAGAGAAGAACTCTGCATCAAATAAAGACCTGCAAAGGTCATGATGGGAAAAAACATTAAATCACTCCTATGAAGAGAAATGAATGGATGCCCAAGTAATTTGGACCTCGGAAGAATCCTGGGAGCCTTGAATGGAACGAGAGCAAGTGACTTGCCCAGGGCAGGTCTAGAACCACCAACCAAACACTGGGTAAGGCACAATGAAGAGCCAGGAGTGTCACGAGATGACAATAACAGAACCCCCTAAAAAAATCTTATGACAGAATCAAAGCACCAAAGATAAGGTAATACTGAACTGGCAAAGAGAGAAAGGGCAACAGCAGGACTAGGTGAGCCTGAAACCTATTACCATCCCTAGGTGATGAATATTGTTGTGGGATTCCCAGACACTTAAAACCATTGACATCAAGCCCCATCAACCCACTCCATCCTTACCAAAACAATGCTCTACTACTGGACCACTGGTAATGTCTTCTGTGCACATGTGCAGGATACAATCCTATCTCATTTACTAGATGTCCACATCACACCAGGAAAGAGTTCAAACTTCTGCATCTTGACTTTCCACAAGAGAAGTAAGTCATAGTACACAGTACTATGTCCACTTCATCACACCACATAACTGTGTGTGCCCAGTAGAGACTCAGTATTGTGTTTCATAACCAGCTATAAACCAGGTGTTGTTTCCCAGAGCCAGTTATGGCTAATGCAATCCTATAACTTTTAAATTTCAAATATCAGTTATTTATTATAACACATAATATAGGCTTACATTTAAAAATCATAAGTGTAATACTATAAATATAAATAAGTGCACAACATTGAGAGAACAGTTAATGTCTGAGAGATATCACAGACAGTAGTGAAACACACCAAGCTTTCCTTTGCCATAAATTCTTGACTTGTAACACTTTGAGTACAAAATATCAAAAAGATCTTATGATGGAATTAACATGTTTTGTAAATATAAATCCTCCTGTTAATTAAAATTAAAAATAAATATGAGATCATAATGTACTTTTGTATAAGATGATAGATTACATCTGTGATTCTTAGTGTAAACTATCAATCACTGAAAATTCAGAGTACTAGATGATCATTTACTGTATTTTGTGTCAGTATCTACTACACGAATGCAGGATTCTACCTGTGCAGTTCTGACGCTAAGGCCATAAACTTAAGCGTATGATGTTGAATCACATTGAAAACAACTGAACTCACCATGTTGCTAGCAGATAACAATGCAGTGGAAACATTTGTAGTGTTCATTGAATCATTAAAAAAAACAATCATGCAGGTTCATAATACATACAGTGGTACCTCAGGATACGATAAGCTGAAAACTCAAACAATTATACTATAAGTGTATTTATGTAAGTGCTTTTGTAAGTGTATTTTTGGGGGTTTGAAATGGATTAATCTAATTTACATTATTCTTTATGGGAACAAATTCGTTCAGTAATGGCACTTGAACAGCCTTCTGGAATGAACTAAGTTCATATCCCAAGGTACCACTGTATATCTAGGCTTAAGACTGAAGTCTTGAGCTCAGCAGATGGAGGATCTCCACCACTTCTTACACTGATGGCACACATGGGTTTACCAATTCACACAAATAGAATAATATAAAACGACAATGAAAAAATAATTAAGGCATTAAAATACAAAAAAAAAAAAAATAATAGGCATAAATATGAAGCATGCATACTGATATAAAAAAGTGAACAGGTAACAGGGAGGTCACATAAACAATGCTACAGTATTAAAAGCTCTTGAAGAGAAAGTAATTACCATTCCCGTGTTATGAAGAATAAGGATGCATGTTGCAGAGCAATTAGCTGTTGGTTAGAATACAAGATCACCAGTGTGCTGGCTCTATCAGGTTACCGAGTTGAACAATTGTGTAATCTGCATTTGTAATGATATTTCATGAGTTAGTGCAGAAAGTACATATGTATTTATGACACTAAAGTTACAAGAGAGCAACATATTTAGTGGTTGTCTCAGATCAGCTGAAATTTGAAACTGATAGCTGAAATGTCATTAACCCTTAACCCTTTCAGGGTCCAGAGGTCAAATTTCAAAGTGCGCACCAGGGTTCAAGAATTAAAAAAAAAAAAAATGTTATTTTTTCTTAAGAAATGGTAGAGAATTTTTTTCTGAAGGTAATAAAACAAAAAGTACGAAATTTGATGGAAAACTGACGAAATTATGCTCTCACAAATTTTGATGTGTCAGCAATATTTACGAATCGGCGATTTTGCCGACTTTGACTCCCATTTTAGGCCAATTACATTATTCCAGTCGACCAAATTCTTAGCAATTTCACTAGTATTACTTCTATTCTATCGATTGAGCACAATAAATCACCCAGTCAACTGTTTCAACTACAAAATAAAGTGATCGTAAATTGGTAATTTGGCCAATTTAACACAAAGTTCAAAATATTCCAATTTTAAAATAGGGTCCAGAATAAACAATGCAGACATTCCTGGCACTAAACTAACATTTCCTCTGTTCATTAGTTATGCTTTCAGGTTTTACAAATGAATTCCATTTTGATTTTTTATTCACAAAATGAATTTTTATTCAAACCCAAAAGTAGATGATTTACTGTTATGCAATATTGTAATAATTGTATAAATATCATCACCATTTGTGAATGTATATTAGACGTGTGAGGTCGTTTGTTTACTCTTGAACTTCAACAAAAATTTAACATTTCCGCTACTTTGAGCTCAGTTTCAAGCCATTTCCAGTGCTAAACCCAATCAAAAATATCTCTATTTCTGTAATATATCTTCCATTCTATCAAATAAGACCAAGAAATCGCAAATACAACTATAAAAAACATATGAAAAAACACTGCAAAGTCGCTGTTTTAATCGAAAATCACGGTCTCAGTTTTTTTCTCTCATTATACACTGTGTGCTGCAGGATTTGTTTTGTGGTGCACACATACCACATAGATGTACTCTCTCATATGTAGGCCCAAATTTACCACTCACAGCTTATCAAAGTGAGCTGAGCTCATGGCGTAGATTTACGGTTTGGACTCCAAACGTATTCTGTAGATCTATGGGACGGACCCTGAAAGGGTTAAACTGTCCAAACGTAGATCTATGTTTTCACTGCCACTGCTCCGAATATTTTGAAAAATAAAAAATCTTTTTTTTTTTTATTAAATTAAAGAGGGCAATTTTCTGTGTGTTATAAGACCCCCAGCAAATTTTTTAGGACTAGTACTTACTGAGATATAAGATGGAAAAGTTAGTGCTGGATGCTCACCTGACAGCAACATGGAGTTCTGCCACTTGCAGAAGTGTTGTCGATATATCTTTTTTCTCATTTTTATTTTAATTTATATAATTTTTATGTTCTAATAATTACAATTTATAATAGTTCTTGTGATTTCATAGCCAATCTTTGTTCTGACACTAATATTAGGTACTGAAATAGTACTCAAATAGTCAGTGACAGTCAAGTGTGTGGTTTACCAGGGCAGTGCCAGTCAAGTGTGTGGTTTACTAGGGCAGTGCCAGCCAAGTGTGTGGTTTACTGGGGCAGTACCAGTCAAGTGTGTGGCTTACCAGGGCAGTGCCAGTCAAGCGTGTGGTTTACTAGGGCAGTGCCAGTCAAGTGTGTGGTTTATTGGGGCAGTGCTAGTCAAGTGTGTGGTTTATCAGGGCAGTGCCACCCAGGTGTGTAGTTTACCAGGGCAGTGCCAGCCAGGTGCCCCATGGCCTGGTGGCCAAAATTCTCGCTTCACACGACGAGGGTCTGGGTTCAATTCCCAGTGAGTGTAGAAACATTAGGCATGTTTCTTTACACTGGTTGTCTATGTTCCCCATCAGTAAAACGAGTACCTGGGAGTTAGTCAACTGGTGTGGGTCGCATCCTGGGACAAAACTGACCTAATTTGCCCGAAATGCTATGCATAACAAGGACTTTCCATATACATGTAGTAATATGTCACTGATGTCAGCTAGGCCTATATACCTTGTACATGTACTTGTAGTAAATAAAGATATTATTATTATGTATTATTATTATATTATAAAAAGGTGTGTGGTTTACCAGGGTAGTGCCAATCAATTGTGTGGTTTACGAGGGCAGTGCCTGCCAAGTGTGTGGTTTACCAGGGCAGTGCCTGCCAAGTGTGTAGTTTACTAGGACAGTGCCTGCCAAGTGTGTGGTTTACCAGGGCAGTGCCTGACAAGTGTGTGGTTTACCAGGGCAGTGCCTGCCAAGTGTGTAGTTTACCAGGGCAGTGCCTGCCAAGTGTGTGGTTTACCAGGGCAGTGCCTGCCAAGTGTGTGGTTTACCAGGAGATGCTACCTTGGTTTGTGATCAAATTCAATAGTTTTGTATAATGAACAGTATATTTTCTGCCATAATGTAATAGCATAGCAAGTTATTAATCTTCTCTGTATTATCTGTAATTGTTAGTGATATTATAATAAATTTTTGATACCAAGCTTGTTTACTTTTTACCTATGACTTTGGTCTGTTTTACTTGTCAACCAAGTTCAGCCACAATAGGTAATGCTGTTATTTTTAATTATTAAAATTCAAAAATTTATTTGTCTGTGTAGTATACAATGTGTAGTTTACACTTTTTTTTTCAACCAATAAGCTGTATCCCACCAAGGCAGGGTGACCCAAAAAGAAAGAAAATCCCCAAAAAGAAAATACTTTCATCATCATTCAACACTTTCACCTCACTCATAGATAATCACTGTCTTTGCAGAGGTGCCCAGATACAACAGAAAGTCACTAGCATGCATGAGCATTTCAGGCAGACTAAAACTAATGTTTTATTGACTTTGCTAGTTATCTGTTTGATCACTTTAACCCTTACATCCATTATAGGTCTAAAATGTGACCTCACTGCCAATGATTTTTTAAAAAAAAATTGAAAAATATTTATGTTAACAAAAAATTCTCCCTGATTTAAAAAGTAATATGGCAAGAATGACTGAAATTTTATTATTACAGAAATACTGTTTGAAGCTGATGCTGGTAATCATATTCGAGTAACATGGTTGCTTATGTAAGTGAAGTTACTGTGTTTTAACATTTTTTCCAGTTATTTCTAATTAAGAATCATGTTTTGCACCTATATCTATGTTTTGATATCATATTTCACTTACATTTATTGTTCAGCGACTAAATGAATGTAAACACTAAACAAATATGCTAATGGCATTTACTGGCTCCCACAATGCCCTACATACAACACAAAGATATTTATACTGCTCATACCTACAGTGCAGATCTGTTTTCTTTGACATGGTCCTAACTAGCCAATTGGGACTATTTTGAGTCCCTAGAAATTTGACGTAAATTTACATCACCCACATTTTCCCATGTGACATAAATTTATGTCATTGGCAACTTAAGGGTCAGCACCCTAGCACAACAGCCAAGTTATTTTAAGATTATCAGTAACATAATGCACAAACTATGTGATATTTGCCAAGTGAAGGGTTGGATCTCTGACAGAAAGAGTGTGTAGCTAAGAGAATGCAAAACAGTAACATGTGAAAATGTAAAATATATTAGAATAAAGTGAGCCCTTCAGTTTCATGAGCTATGTTCCTAGAAGTCATCACAAATCCAGAATCTGTGAATACCTCTAAATTCTCTATTTATAAATGAATTTAAAAGCCTGATTGCATCACATGAAGTTGTAACTTAGTACAGTGGAACCTCAAAAATCGAACTGCTCCCAACACGACCAATTATGTAAGTGTATTTTTGTAAGTGCTTTTATAAGTGTATTTTTGAGGGTCTGAAATAGACTAATCTAATTTACATTATTCCTGATGGGAATAAATTCATTCGGTAAAGGCACTCGAACAGCCTTCTGGACCAAAGAAAGTTCGATATTTGAGGTTCCACTGTAATAGAAAATATATTTTTAGGTCAGTAAGCGCTATAACACTGAGATGAAATGAGTGAATGGCTAGTGCCTTATGGGTTTCCTCTTATAGTTTTCTGGTATAAAAATAGTTTTCTTTGCATCAAGCATTCTATTTCATACACCGAGAAAAAAATAATTTATATATGGTGGGAAATGACTGTGTTAAAAAAAATTAACAAAGTGCCAATGGAAAATGATACACAAAAAAGGCAACAGATACATGAATGATGAAAACTGTTCACATATAAACCTATACATTAAGCAATGCATATCAATGCTAATATTTCAGTTAACTCATGCAAGCAAGACAGCATCCACTATGGACTATATATAATTTAAAATTACATTATAAATAAATTTCAGTGTACTGTACTGCATTTTAAATTTTTGAATAAGAGGACTGTGTACTGGGGTGGTAGTGTGATACAGCAATAGCAGCATGCATGCAACAGAAAAGCTTAAAATATACTGCAATATACACTGAGTAGGCAGAACAATGGTGAGCTCTGATGTTAACATACTTGGCAACATATGTGAAGAAGGATGAGTTGGAAATGTTCCATACATGATTAATTGGTTTAATCTACTAGCTCTATTGTTCATCAAAACCAGAGGCTCCAAGTCAAACAACAATTACTGTCAATATGCAGTACAGTTGCAAACTTATTAGGTGACCGCCTAAGTTCGCCTAATGGTAGCGCTGGTCCTGTCAATGTGGTTAACAAAAAACGATGGTTATTTTTGCTAGTGACAGATTACTTTAACAGCAGCATGCATCATACTAAGTTGAAATATTTGCAGTGCAGATGATGCTTTATGTATAACAAATATAATAATAATTCTATGATGCACATGATTT